TATATATATATATATATATATATATATATATATATATATATAAACACAATATATAAAAATATAGTAATATAAAACAAATAAAAATGACAAAAGCACATAACAAAATTATTTAAAAATTTAATATTTTACTAACTAAAATTGAAATGAAAACTGAAAAAAATTCAAAGAATATTGAATAATAATACAATAACACTGGATAATACATCAATGCTTATAAATAATTTATTATTAATAAAATAATAAACAACTCTTAATAATATAATTCGTTAGGATAATTAGCATATAGACAGTTTATGGTTTCAAGCAACATCTTGGTTCGTTAGTGATTGTGGGCTTGACACAAAGCAAGGATCGTTTGACAGCTTTAAACAAACATCCAATCAGAACTATGTTTTATAAAGTTGCTCTAAAAACTTTTGCTTCATAAGAATCTTGTCTTAGAAGAAGAACATCATTGCTGATTCTCCTTCTCGTCTCGGTTGTCTCTGATCTCTTCTAGGCCCTTCACTTCTTTGTGGGTCTCGGGGCATTAGTGAGTCCCCTCATCGCTGACCCCTTCCTGTCTGAGACCAGCTGTGTGATTGGGAACAGCAGCACCAATGCTACATCATTAAGGCATCTGAGGAACAAGCTCGCAGGCAGACATCTGCATAACGTGTCCAGTGTCCACCTCCACACTGACGGAGAGGTGGTGACCAACGTTTCCTATGCATTCTGGATCATGGCTGTCATCAATGTAAGACCCATCTGTCTAGAAATTTGAGTTTGTATTTAGTTTTAAGAGTGGCATGCCATCAGAACACTACTGTAGCGTGAAGTTGTGTACATTAGTGTGCATATAAATGCTCTGTCAGCTCTAATGTTGAAGGAAGGACAGCTGGGAGGGTATTTGAATAAAATAAATTAATCAAGATTGTCTCCTTGGCAACGGCACTCCATCTAAAAGTTCTATTTACACACTGGCTATAATATAGTGATAGCATAACTGATACACACCTAACACCTGGTCTCTGTAGTATATATATACATATATATATGTGTGTGTTTGTTCTGGGTTCTTTTATGACCTCCTGGATGAGTCGTTGTTGCGCTCTTGGAGTAATTTTGGTAGACTGACCACTCCTGGGAAGGTTCACCACTGTTCCAAGTTTTCTCAATTTGTGGATAATGGCTCTGACCGTGGTTCGCTGGAGTCCCAAAGCCTTAGAAATGGCTTCATAACCCTTTCCAGACTGATACATTTCAACTATTTTGTTTCTCATCTGAATTTCTTTAGATCACGGCATGATGTGTTGCTCTTTAAGCATGCTTCACTTTGTCAGACAGGTTCTATTTAAGTGATTTCTTGATTCAACAGATCTGGCAGTAATCAGGCCTGCGTGTGGCTAGTGAAATTTAACTCCGCTTTCTAAAATAATGTGGTTAATCACAGTTCTTTCATGATTTAAGAGGAGGGGCTATTCATTTTTCACGTAGGGCCAGGTAGGTTTGGACAGCTTTTTTCCCTTAATAAATGAAATTATCATTTAAAAACTGAATTTTTTATTTAGTTGCATTATCTTTGCGTAATATTAAAATTGGTTTGATGATCTGAATCTTTTACGTGTGACAAATATGCAAAAAATAAACAAAACAGGCAGGGGGCAAAAACCTTTTCACGGCACTGTATATATACACACTACAAAAATGTGGGGTCAATAAAAATAAATTAATGCTTCTATTCAGCAAGGTTGCATTAAATTGATCTAAAGTGACAGTAAAGAAAAAATACTATTTCAAATAAATGCTGATCTTGTGAACATTCTATTCAAAGAAACCTGAAGAAGTATCACGATTCACACAAAACTTTTAAGCAGCACAACTGTTTTCAACATTGATAGTAATATGAGATGTTTTTTGAGCAGCAAATCTGCATATTAAAATGACTTCTGAAAGATCATGTGACACTGAAGACTGGAGTAATTTTGCTGAAAATTCAATTTTGCATCACAGGAATAAATTACATTTTAAAATACATTCAAATGGAAAACAGTTATTTTAAATAGTAATAATATTTCACAATATTAGTTATTACTGTATTTTTTATCAAATAAATGCAGCCTTGGTGACCTTAAGATACTTTTTTTCAAAAACAAAAAAATCTTACAGACCCCAAACCTTTGATTGGTAGTGGTTATATATATTATATATATTATAATAATTTGAATAATGTTTTATATATTATAATAATGTTTCATGTAAGAGCTGAAATACTGCAAAATTCAAGTACTGAATAAACATTCATAATATTTGGTTTTTATTCGTTTTTATTAAATTTTTTTATTCATTTTTATTAAATACCAGACCGAAATGTTTGCATCTGAGTATTGATGCAAGCAATTCCTGAACTGTTGTTCAGAACTGATTCATCACTGATTCTGATCTGACGAAGATGAATCAGAAGTTTAATTTAGCATTTTTTTTGTGTGTAGTCAAATAAATTTACACTACTTAATACTGCTGTCTAAGGTTATATAGTTTCCATCAAGTCTTCTTTACATTAGTTTTAAGAATGCTTTTCAAACTGGTTCAACTGAATCATTTCAGAAAATCTGTTCAAAAGAATCATTTCTTTACGAATCAACCTGTCTTTATACATGCATAACTCTGTCTTCTCTGTAGCTTCCTGTACCCATCGCGATACTAATCCTCATGTATCGGGAGCGACTGTTCGTGTGCGGCTCAGACCCCGGTCGACGTTTACTAGATGGAGACGTGCTAGCGATGAAAACCTGGGGAACCACAGGTCTGACAGAAGACGCTGGACATCAGAAAGAGACTTCCAGAAGTAAGATCCTAAGCACTTCTGCAACACTGACACTGATGAAATAATTAGCATGTGGGATCAGACCACAAACACAGTTGAAGCACATGTCAGAAATAGCATGCCGTCAGATGTGCATAAAAGCACTTGCTCTTCTGTCTCCGCAGGCCATGTAGGTTTGTTCGGCTGCTGTCTCCTTGGCAACGCGCACAGCTTTCCGCTGTCTTTCTTTGGGATCCATATCCTTGGGGGTCTGGTGCTCTTCTTTTCAGATGGTATAGTGGTAAGCAGGATTAGCACTTCACAGCCGTTTCAGCTCTGTAATTTAAGAGCATTTGCTTAATTACTTAAACTCATGTATTATTTAATCTCACGCACCTCAGGGCTCATACACAGGCTTTGTGTACACCTACGCAGTGGCGCCCCCTATGAATCTACCTCACAAGACCGCCGGATACTTGACGTGCGTCTTCTGGGCGGCGATCACTGCAGGCCGACTGTCAGCCATACCTCTGTCCTACAGATTTAAACCTGTCCGATTGCTCAGCGTTAGTCAGGTGCGATTCTTTGATTTGGTTTTAAAGCCAATTTTATGGAAATTATAAAAAAAAAAAAATAAAAAAAAAGAGAGAGAGAAATGTTGTTGCTGATTCAGAGGTGTATGCAAATATCATTGTTTTTTCAAAAATACAGTAAAAACAATAATACTGTGAAATATTAGTTCAGTTTTGAAGAATTGAATGCATTTTAAAATGTAATTCCTGTGATGCAAAGCTGAATTTTCAGCATCATTACTCCAGTCTTCAGTGTCACTTGATCCTTCAGAAATCATTCTAATATGCTGATTTGCTGCTCAGCTATTATTAGTTATTATTTGTGCTCAGTTATTAATAATGCTTATTTTCTGCTTAATACTTTTTGTGGAATCCATGATACGTTTTGCAGGATTTTCAGAATTATAAATGTCTTTACTGTCTTTTTGATCATTTTAATGCATCCTTGCTGAATGAAAGTATTAATTTCATTAATCATAATTTCATAATTCCAAACTTAGGGATGGTAGTATATCATGATTTCTACAAAAAATATATAAAACTAAAGGTAAAGGTTTTAGAAACTAAAGAATTCACAGTTATGGAGGCCCAAAACCCACATACATCAATAAAATTTGTTTGAATTTTATTGAATTTGAATTTGAAGTTGTGAAAATTAACAGAAATTAATTTTCATAATAAATTAAAAAATAATAATTTTAATGTAATATAAAGAATGTTATTTATGTATTTATAGTATTTAAGTATATATGTATTTTTATTAATTTGTTGATTCATTATTTTATATAATATTTATTTTATTTTCAATTTTGCTCATCAATACACAGCACCATGGTAAAAAAGAAATGTCATGGCAATCAGGGTATCTTCCGTCCAGTCAATTTTTGTTTTAATATTGAAATCTGAAAAATGAAAAACGGGCACATATTTCGTTTTTCAATTATTCAAACAAAACGAAAAATCAAGAATCCGCCTCAATTTTTCGTTTTTACATTCAGGGATAGAAACGAATAAACAACTTGAATATTCGATCTCTACATGTGGGCGGGAATGAAACGCCCCTCTCTGCTAATTGGTCAACCAAACATTACAACATAATAATAGTCCTAAAAAAACCTTAATAATAGTCCTCCGCTTCTATTGATTCTTAACATGTTTATTTCTACTACATTTGATCTCTTCATCAAACAGCCAGATTAATGAATGGCTAGACACAAACCATACTGAAGCAGAGCCTTTTGGCCCTAGGCATGCCTGTTTTATTATAGTTATCCACCCATTAAAATATGTGTGGCAAAGCTGCGGGACGCACTGCAGCGTGGGGAGAATGTATTGACCACTATCAATTTATGTGAACATACAGTCATAACTTTTGTTTTAGACAATACGCTGCATTTTAGACAAAGGAGGAACTTAAATAATATTACAGATATGAAAATAAATGACTTTGTGTAATTTACCTTCACAGCACATCTATTATTTTTCTATTTTGAGTTTTATTCATGGAGCACTTTATACAAATTTAGGAAATCATCTGTTATTATCCCACTGGCATGGGACTATTTGTTCCTCACAGTGCTTGTTTCAGTGATTGACTTTAGTGAAATGTGAATTTGACGTCATGATTTGAAGGTGAACTCGTTTGAGTTATAAGAACATATCCAAACCCCGAAATAACACTTCGAACAATAAGCCAGTGTCAGCAGTATCAGAAATTAACTTTCACATAAGGGGCAACTGATTTTCAGTTTGTTATTTATTTATTTATTTTATTTTTTAACCTTTTACCTTTTTTATGTCATTTTTAATGTTCAATTCTTACATTAAATAAATTAGAATAATATGACAATAGGCTGTTACCAATTCAGTATCCATACCAAATCAGTATTCAATGATATAGATCAAAATAGAAAAATAATAGATGTGCTGTGAAGGTAAATTACACAAAGTCATTTATTTTCATATCTGTAATATTATTTAAGTTCCTCCTTTGTCTAAAATGCAGCGTATTGTCTAAAACAAAAGTTATGACTGTTTGTTCACATAAATTGATAGTGGTCAATACATTCTCCCCGTGCTGCAGTGCGTCGCAGCTTTTCCACACAGATTTTAATGGGTGGATAACTATAATAAAACAGGCATGCCTAGGGCCAAAAGGCTCTGCTTCAGTATGGTTTGTGTCAAGCCATTCATTAATCTGGCTGTTTGATGAAGAGATCAAATGTAGTAGAAATAAACATGTTAAGAATCAATAGAAGCGGAGGACTATTATTAAGTTTTTTTAGGACTATTATTATGTTGTAATGTTTGGTTGACCAATTAGCAGAGAGGGGCGTTTCATTCCCGCCCACATGTAGAGATCGAATATTCAAGTTGTTTATTCGTTTTCTATCCCTGAATGTAAAAACGAAAAATTAAGCCGGATTCTTGATTTTTCGTTTTGTTTGAATAATTGAAAAACGAAATATGTGCTGTTTTTCATTTTTCAGATTTCAATATTAAAACAAAAATTGATTGGACGGAAGATACCCTGATTCATGGCAATCTCCATTTCATTCTTATGGCATGATCTGTGAAACTTGTTTGATTTAGGGTACATTTACAGTACAACAATATACTAAAAACGGATGTCAAACGGCTAAACGTGCTGTAATATGCGTACCAGGCCAGTAGTTGGCGACATCACTATGGAAAGAAACACTACGTGTCTGCATAGATATGCATTCAAGTTCTTGTGCACTATAAACTGAACACGTAATACGTTTGCGCATGACATCACCGTTTTCACAAATTCACGTTTTTGTAGTTTAAACCAATACAATAACAGTATCGTTTTCAAAAACTTGCACTTTGAAACCCATTTTCAAAAGTTCGCGTTTTCAGGCCCCCAAAACACTGTTGTTGTGTAAATGAATGGCCAAAATGCATAAAAAGTTTTTCAGTTTTTAGTTGAAAAATGTGTTGCGTAAACACCCTCTAAGCAACAGTAACCTGGGGGGGCGGAGCTTAGCAAAGCGTCATTTGTCAGTCCATTACAAACTCTCTCTCGAGTCAGGTGGACTATAAATGTGGCTTGCACCAAAAAAAGGTGCGTCACCCACAATGCAGCAAGGAAAACTTTGGACAGGAACAAACATCCTTGTTCTGCATCCCGCTCTGCGCTGTCCATTCGCCAGTCGGGACTTTTGTTTATCTGGTGTGACTAAGGCTCCTTTCTCATTTCACGCTTTTATTTGCACCAAACATTAATGACATCAGGCCTCTTCATTTCCGTTCGTTGTGCAGATAAAGCAGGGGTGTTCACCTCAAGTAACAAAGGCTTCGTTGACGGTGCGTATCCAAATGCAAATCCTCTCCTTTCTGTTCTCTTGTAGGTGGGTGTGATAGTCACACTACTTCTGCTGCTAATCTTCTCCAACAGTAGTGTGTTCCTCTTCATCGGCACCTGCTGTCTCGGCCTATTTATAAGCAGTATCTTCCCCTGCACGCTAGCATTCACTGAAGACATCCTGGAGTACAAAGGTATTGCGACAGATGGACCACCGCTGTCTCCGGCATCATTAAATCGCCTTTTTGTCTACGGCTTTCATTGATTTGACAGTAGCCGCTGGTGGTTTCACAGTTCAGTATTTATTCAAGGTTTACTGCTGAGCCGAGGACCAGCCCCGTTTAATTCTTTACGCTGTTGGCCTTTGACTTTTGGAAGGTTTGGCCTGACAGGTCTTTGTGTCTTACGGCCCTTTTTAAACGCAGCGGTCAAACCCTTTGGGAGGAATTCTTTCCAAATCAATGGCTAATTACTGAGCGCCCTCTGTACGCCGCAGATATGGGGGTTGGTTAGGGTAGAGTGATTAAAAAATGTCATTATCTATAAAAAATATCCCTATCATTAGAGTCCCTACAGGTCTAGACCGGAATGTAACTGATATTTCATTTAACTGTACCGGATATTGAAATGCATATGAATCCTAGACCAGTTGAAGAAAAATTATTGGGAGAAATCCCATCGCTGTTGCAAGGGAAGTCCTGCCTAAAAGTGCCAATCAGCTTTTTGATCGAGACATCGTCAGTGTGTTAAATGAACCTCAGAGAAAAGAAAAAAAAAATGTAATTTAATAATTGCAATAAGCGAAATTGCAAAGGTTGTGATTTAATTAAATAAATATATGCACTGTTCTTTAACACACACGCAGCTTAGTGTCATTTTAGTATCATTTGAGATATTATAGTTTTAATTAATATTTTAATTGTTTTAATTTTATTTCAAGTTTTAGTAATTGTGTTGTCTTTGTCATTTTTATTATATCTTTTTTTATGTCTCTATAGTTTTTATTACTTTTTATTTTATTTTTATTTTGAACTAAATGAAAATGAGAACTTTGAAATAAAAGTTGGAAGTTTTTTAATATTTTATTGATTTATTTTTAGTTAACTATAATAACCCTGAGCAGCTTTTTCCACCATAATAAAAGCACAGTGGTTTAATGTTTGAAAATTAAGAAATTAGGACGGGCATAAATATCAGTCTTGAAATTTTAAAGTTGCACTGCAAAAAACAATTATACTATTTAGATTTTTTTTTACAGTGGAATATTGCAATATCAGTATTACATTTTAATTAGGTTGTTATAATTATTATTGTTATTATTATACATTTAAAAAATTTCATTTCAATTCACAATCACTATTTTTAATCAGAAAATTTGCAATTGGACTTTTTTCCCAAACCGTTTGCATTATTTACGCTTAAGTTTTATTCAGTTGTCGTGAGATTTTAACTGTGAATTTGAATTCATTTGAATGCTTCTGCAACATAAAACCATTTCCTTTTTTATAGTCAAAGAGAAACGGAGTTGATTGTGTTGTGTTTCCTCTTCAGGTTGTGCCACCACAGTCATGGTGACCAGTGCAGGGATGGGTGAGATGGTACTCCAGGTGCTCGTGGGTTTGGTAAGTCTTGCTCTTGAGGATTGAACCCATGATTTTGCGTTGCTAGTGCGGTTATGATCTACCAGTTGCGCTAAAATGGTTTTTTAACTGCTGATTTGAGTCTCTTTCCTCCCTCAGGTGATGCACAATCAAGGTAGCTTCAGTTTCTTGTTGTGTGGAATGATCTTCGGCTGCCTGGGATTCGCCTTCTTCGTTTTGCTGTTCTTCGTCCAGCAGAGTCACAAAAACTTCATGGAAGGTGCGTCGACTCTCTCAATTTACATTGTTGCCTGTAATTGGTGGATGCTTTTATTCAAAACAACTTACATTGAGCTCAAAGTATACATTTGTGTGTTCATTGGGAATCAAAGCTCTGATCTCGGCATTGTGAGTGCCAAGCTCTACCAGCTGAATAAAACTGGTCTTGTCCTTTTAGCTAAAACTAATAGTTTGGCTTATCAAATAA